AGATTATACTAATGTACTGGTGTTTGTGTGCCAGTCACAAAATACTCAGCACAGTGTAAAATTTCCTCACATCTTCCCACTTCTAGATTTTTGATGGATAAAGACAACTTTGCCTCCAAAAACGACGAGTCACAGGAGAATGCTGAGGACTTGCACTTTCCTCTCTCATATTACTACATAGAGTCGTCACACAACACTTACCTTACTGGCCATCAGCTTAAAGGGGAGTCCTCAGTAGAGCTCTACAGCCAGGTATGCAGGATTGGATCGCTGTGTGGCTTTCAACATGAACTTGTTTGTTTTACTGGCAAGTTGCAGAAACATGACCTTTTTGCTTTGAAAATCTAAATGTCCTAAACCCCTGCTTGCAAAACGTTGGAAAACATGATGTGTGGGAAAGCTGCCTGTAAGCACAGTTGTGCTCAAATGCCTTTTCTAAGGCAAAAAAATGGGTTTAGTTTGAGATTCATAGCATTTAGACACCAGTCGGTCTGACCCAACCTACTAAAATTAGACTTTCCCACAGGAAAGACTGATCTAATATTTTAGTTCATTCAGATGTCAAAAACACTACTGAAATACTGTACATTACACTGCAAAGGCAAATTTCAAATAGAACTATAACTTCTAAAAACATTACTTCTAGGAATATTCTGCAGTTTCTTAGACTTTATGCCTGATTGGTGGAGAACAGGGAAAGAATGATTTCTCCCTAGGGTTTTTCATTCTGTGTTTGTACATACATATATTTGTGTGCCTGTCTATTTACAATATTTACTCTCTCTTCACAAAAAAAGCTCCCATCTCTAGTTTTCCAAATCCTGTGCTCTGTTTCCCAATGGCTTTTTTACAAAATGCTAGAGAAAGTATTCAACTTCCTGTCAGTAGTGTGTTCATTACTCAGAATGTTAGGGACTCACCATTGAGAAGAGCTCATGTGGTGTCCCATGTGCTCGTTTTCCTGGGGTTATAAAACAGAGAGGTGAGGCTGTGGGAGGAAAACCTGACTAACATGATTGCAATGAGTAACACCATTGCAGAGGAGGTTCCTGTAGTAGCACTGCACAGGAATGTGAGTATTGTGTGGTAATAGCTTTTTTCTTTGCTAACAGATGGGAAGTGGGAAAGAGCTCAGCTGGCTTCCAAATTTGCATGATTCAGAAAAGCTTCTTCCTGTTCCTCAATTAGCTGTCACCAACTGAAGGGGCACTTTGCTCTGGCTCAGTGTGTCTGGCTGTCACAGCAGTGCTGCTGTGCCAGCTGTGGACATAACTGCCTGAACTCCAGTTATTCAGGTTTTGAGTAGGAGAAGTAACTTTTATTTTGTTCATGAATATTTTTGCTGGAAATGGGTTTGATGGTTGAGATCTTTCTTTCCTGTGAAATATATAATTGTAGTTCAGGTAACTCTTGGAACGACAGGCTAAATACTGTTAGCAATAATAGGCTGTATTGTCAACAGATGGGTTAGCTTATCTTTCCTTTCATCCTTCCTCTTTGCTTCCTTCAGTGGTTTTCTAGCAAGCAGGGCTTTCTAAAATAAATCAATGAATAAGTAAAAAGTGCATGAATTAACTAATGGCTGTAAATTAGTTTAATATAATTGATTAAATGGCCTGGCACATTGCCATTCTAACTATCCTCATAGGAGTTGTTTCTTAAGACATATTTTCAGACCATCTTCTATTTATAAAACAACAAAAAGAATCAGCAAGCAAACTGCAGGTGCTGTGCCCATAAGCTGTTAGAGGAGCAAACTTGCATAAATTGCTATGTTGCTTTATAGCTGCTTTTGCAGGTAGAGATATGGAAATATTTCTCTCTGTCAGAAAATGAAGGTGTACATTAAGAACCACCTTCAAAGGTTTCTGTGTGTCCTGTAAGATACCATGAATTTCAAAGCTTTATGGCAATTCTCCTAATAACACACATACTTTCTTAATTTCCCCATTCTTTCTCAATGGGAAATGAGGAATTCAATTAGCAGTTAGCTGGGGACTGTATCTTCTGTGAGCTGTTTATTCCACAGAGATTGTTCTTTCTAGCACTTTTGCTGAATCACTGGGTTTTCATTCAGCTCTGCAAGGTCTTGTCTTCTCCTCTGATGGCACGAGACTGTGGCTTATATGTGTTTACACTGTTCAATTGCATTGTAGGTTCTTTTACAAGGCTGCAGAAGTGTTGAGTTAGACTGCTGGGATGGTGATGATGGAATGCCTATCATTTATCATGGGCACACCCTTACTACTAAGATCTCTTTTAAGGTATGCTGGTAATTACACATAGAAACAACAAGAAAAAAGAGAGAAGAAAATCAGTAATTTTTTTATGTAATGAAGGAAAAATTTACCTACTAGAAAAATTCAAGTCCTAATAATGGGCTACATCCTAATTGAACATGAACTATGGACTATGTCAGACATAAACTCCTCAATGGTAAAGATTATGCTTTTCAAATTAGTTTTTATAGCATTTTTTGTCTCTCTGTTGACAACATAACTATGTAGCTATGACCAGTTCTGTTGTAACAAGATGTCAGGTTGATCTGTAGGATCTTGTTTTGAATGAAAGCCAATTGTGGACCCTTTCTTCTTAGAGAGAAAACAGATGCCTTCCCCTTTCAACTAACAGTAAGTTAACTGAAAGATGCAAAATAATCACCTGTTCTTTCCATGGCCTTTCTTTCTCACAGGAGGTGGTTGAAGCTATTGATCGCAATGCGTTCATCACTTCTGACATGCCAATTATCATATCGATAGAAAACCACTGTTCATTGCCTCAGCAGCGCAAGATGGCTGAAATCTTCAAGGTAGCCATAAATTGTGGTAAATTATTCTAAGCACCTGCATTGGGCTCTTCCATAATATCTTACATGTGCTTGATATTTCAGAATGTATTTGGAGATAAGTTGGTGACCAAGTTTTTGTTCGAGAGTGACTTTTCTGATGATCCTATGCTTCCTTCCCCTGGCCAACTGAAAAGAAAAATCCTGCTTAAAAACAAGAAGCTGAAAGCCCATCAAACACCAGTGGATATATTGAAACAAAAGGTAAAGTCGTTGCTTAACAGCAAGCAGCGAGACCTAACTTCTGTTAGACATAATTCATTCAGGCTTGAGGTTTTTGCCATTCCCATCTGTGCAGCAGAATGATCTAATGCATATTCAATAATCTAAATTTATATTCGTGGACTCACAGTGGATTGCAGTGCTTTCAAACAAGTAGGCAAGACATATAGTAAAGCATAGATGCAGCATGACTAAATTTTAGTGTATATTAATTTTAGAATACTTGACAGTATTATGATTAACACTACATGCCCTATATGATAAACATAAATGAATTCACTCTCTGAGGCTACAATATTTGCTATTCATGTTTGTTGAGAAATAGTGATACACATTATGTGTGTGTATGTACACTATGTAGTAATTCTTTGTAGGGTTCTGCTTTGTTTCTTGTTTCATGCCCAAGCCAGGCAAATACTCTCTTTCCTACTCCCTTTTCATGAGGGACTCTGCTATTCAAACTTTGCTTATACCTATACAAGAATGTATTGGATTTCTAAAATTTGGGCTGCATCTCTAGCAGCCTCAATATAATAATCTATAGTTTGTCAGCAATTAGATTGACTCCTTGAAAATTGATTGCTTTCACCCAAAATGTAAACACAATTGCTCTAGACTTGAATTCCTTTATTAGAATGAGCAAATCACACTGATTTACCAGTATATGGACATTCTCCATCTTTTGAAAACGTTTTAAACTGCTTCCAAACCAGCATCCCTCAGACTGGCAAAAGGCAGTCTTGCTCTGAATGATGTGCAAAGGGGATATTTTCCACATAATTAATTAGGTTTCACATCTTGTTAAGTGTTTTTCTTCCAATATAAGTTTTCTTTACATTCAAACTCTTAAAAATGTATCTTAGCTTGATCTTGAATTATTTCTCATTTAGTATATGCTTTCATATACATAAAATAAGATGCAAACAGTGATGAAAACTCTTTTGCTTTTTACAAATATTTACCAACAGTGTAGTAAGTGATTCTGTTGTTGTAGGCTCACCAGCTGGCACATATGCAGGCACAGGCTAGCAATGGTGCTAGCAACCCCACACCTACCAATGAGGAGGAAGAAGATGAAGAGGATGAATATGACTATGACTATGAATCTCTCTCTGATGGTAACCATATTTGTTGATTTATTTATTACAGAACTATAGCGATGAGACATGTAAATAGTCTAGCTCAGGAGTGATGTAGGTAGGTTGACCTTACCTTGTCAGAGGAAGATGTACTAAGTGTTCTTGGTGACACTTCAGTGCAGTAATCTTTAATACTATGGAATTAATTTGACTGCGTAGAAGACTTGAATGTGACTTTAACTCCAACCATTATATGTTTTAACTGTGCAGTGTATGGTAAATTCTAGTCTTTATAAACTGCATTTTTTATATTATACAAAAATTATTGTGTTCATCGTGTACTCTCTCTACACTCACCTGTATTGTCTTTCTTAAGTAGTTTAGGCACCTTAAAGCTCAAGTTTACAACAGGCATAACCCTTGCATCTGCATGATCTGTGAAGGACCTATTTTAGTTACACTTTCAGTATCAGCTGTTCATGAGTAAAGGTAGAGAAGCTGCTGAGTCCCTGGTTTGTTCAATGGAGATGGTTTGATTAAGGCTTCAGCTGCTCAGTGAAAAAATGGCAAGGCATGCCTTAGTGACTTGCCTTGTAAGATCATGGGCTGTCTATGCTTCAGCTACCCTAGTCTTCAGGAACTGGCAGTTTAGGATAAATCCACTTTTAGGAGCAGTTTATAGATTGAATATAAAGATTGGCATACCAGAGGTGATAAAAAATACTGTAGTTTGTAGCTTCCACTACTTTCTTAGCTTGCTGGGTCATTCAGTCACATTTGACTCTACTACAGATGAGGACAAAATGTGCCCCACTGAAGAGCTGAGCTGAAGTCAAGTACCTGTTTTTTGCTTCTCGTGCTGTGGGGCTGGTTGATTCTGGTAGAGAAAACAGCTAGAGTCAAAAAACATTTAATCCTCTTAACTTTTGTCAATGGGCATTTGTCAGAACCTCCATGTAAGGACTGAACAAACTGGATGCCCCTAAATCGATTACTTGTTAATTTTAATTAGTAATTTTTAGAGAATATGTCAAAGTCGGTCACAGTGTGTTTGCCCAATGTGATGGGCAAGTGAAACCAAGTTCTTTGGGTAGTTAAGTGTTGCACCATGGTTCAGCTCTTTAAATGAGTCACAAAACTGACCAAGGGGACAAACAGTTACAGATGTGCTTCAGTGTAGGTAAATGTAAGGTTATACATTTGAGGGAAAGGCTTTGAATCTCGATTATATGACTCTATATGAGTCATATATGACATATGACTTATATGATCAGCAATGGCAGTACCAGTTTCTGAGGTCATGGAATTATTGAAAGTGCTCTGAAATGCTCAGCTTGGTGTGCAGTGACAGCCAAAAGATGGAGATCATCGGGAGCAGTACTGAAAACAAAACATCTTTTTGCTTCTGTAGAAAACCTTAATGTATTACAGCTTGAGTTTTGTGTCCAGTTCTTGCCTCCAGGTCTCATGAAGGATATAGTGGGGTTAAGGAAGTTAGAGAGAAGGGCAGCCAGAAAAGTAGAGGGAGTGCAGTGGTGGCCTTGCACGAGTCTGAGGTGGCTGGAATTCTCCTGCTGGTAGAGAAAAGGATTGAGGGGTGAATGGGAAGCAGGTTTGCTAAATCAAGAAGTGGTAGATAAGAGAATTACAGAACTGTTACTCATTAGATCCAGGAGGTGCTCAGTAAAACAAGTGAAAGATCAGTCTAAAACAGGTGAAGTATTTCTTTGTGCATTGAGTAGTAAACTTCTAGAATTAGCTGCCAAGGGTAATTGCAGAGCCAAGTGGCATCAGCGTGTTGAAAAAAAAGGATTGGACAAATTTATGGGCAGGTTTATAAGCAAATGTTATAGGTAGAAGTATTTTGTCAGACATCCCTAATATTCAGCAGTTGTGGTTGTTGGGGTGGTACTAGGGAAGTGAACCATGCTCAGGGACTGGTTGCTCTCTAAACAACATCTTCTGTTGCCACTGTCAGAAAGAGAATGCTCAGCTAGATGAACAATTGGTCTGACAGAACTGGGAATGTTCTCCTGGCTAAACAGTGAAGTACTTCCCTCACTGAACCTTTAAGTCTAATGGGGATCTGTTTAGGTCCTGAGACTATTTGTGGAATAACAGTATTAATTAATGCTAACATAAAAATTTGGTGACATGAGTTTGGCATAGGTGCTGCCTTCAGTTATGTTTTGCTAGAAAGTTGGCCTAACTGGCTATTTGACAATTCTCCTTGTGTGGGACACAGTGGAGATAATAGTTTAGATGTGAATTGCTGTGAAAAACTTAGATTTTTGCTAACAGACTTGGCCGAGAAAATATTGCAAGCTAGTTGCAGTAAGTGACTTTTGAGCAATGTTCTAGTTAAGAGAAGGTTTGAGAATTCTGAAGCTAGCAAGAAACATTCACACCTTCCAATATATGAAGGAATCTGTGGCATGGTTTACTGTTTTATTCCAATTCTTTTGGGCCTTTAATTATGTTAATATTTTGGCAAAACTAATCTAAGTAATGGTCTGTAAACCTTCTAAAAGAGATTCAGTTTTATTTTCCTTACTGATACATTTTTTTGCATAAGTCTAATAGTTTTACAACTGACACTTAATTTTCATTTCTCTGGCTGTAAATCTAAATTTCCTTTACTCTTATTCCCTCTCTGACTGTTTCCCTGTAGCTGATGTCCTTAATGCTTCTCCTGCTCCTAACAGCCAGGAAGGTAAAAGCCTTTTGGTTGAGCATTTTAACTGCATGAAATCAGCACTGCATCTTCAGCCTGTTCAATGTGACAGTGTGAATATATGGTTTCTACTTCATATTGTAAATGCAATCAGATATTTCTATATGACATTGTTAACTGGTCAGTAATTCTTAGAAGGCTGCATGTGTGACACTGGTTTTGCATAAAAAGAATATGGTCAAAGCATCAGGAATGTCAGGAATGAAATAAAACCATTCCTTTTGTGACAGTTACAAGAGTTTGGTCCAGAAAGGCCAAATCAGTATGTATATTATTCTCTGATAAATATGTAGCTTTGAAGAGGTATTTCTATAGATACAAAAAGTATTTGTGCATGGTCAATGTAAGGAGAGGGAAGCCAAAACTTGCTGTGTACATTTGATGTGGTTAATTGTGTTTGGACTTGAGCATTTTTTTGTCACTCAGGAATATTATTTGTTTTCAGATGGCAAACATAATTCATTGGATGGTTTGGTTTTAAGAGTCATCTGAGCACAAAAGGATGGGGTTTAAAGGAAGAGTAATGTATTAACCAAAGCCAAGCATTAAAATTTTAAAGTAGGTTACTACTAGAAGAGGATGCTTTGACCAGTAAATGCATCATTTTGGCATCTGGTTATTCATATAAGATTCAGAGCACTGTCCACAAATACTGTTAATTCAAATTAAACTTCCAGTTGAACTTGTTTGGCTTTATGTTTATTAAAATCCCATTGATTTCTAGATAACATTCTTGAAGACCGACCTGAGAATAAATTAACCAGTGATAAACTGCAGTTTGAATATAATGAAGAGACTGCCAAACGACTAAAGAAGGCTGACTGTGCTACTTACAATAATAAAGGAAAGGTAGTTCTGCTTTTTCCCCCCTTCTTCTCAGCTGCACATTGATACATAACCAGCTTTGAAAGGATTTGAACAGTTTAGGTAGCTGAGACATCAGGTGCCAAATCTGCTTTAATCAAGGAAAATAGTAGATGCATGGAAAGACACCAGGGAAATAGATTATACAGCACAAACACTCACATACTGTTCAAGAAAAGTCCTCAGAGGTTGTTGTACATATAGGCTGCTTGGCTGAAGTTCAGCTGTTGTTGCTCTCAGTGAAAGCTTCACTGAAACTAGATTCAGAAGTTTATTTAGATATCTGATTTCCATTGGCATCGACAGAACTGAAGATTTCATCCGAATCTTCAGCATCTTTGTGTATCCAAATTGTTTTAAAATACCTCACTGTATCAGATAACCACAGTACCTCATATTAAATCCTCTGACAATGGTACCAGTGCATTGCTGGTTAGAAAACTGTAGTTCTTCCTGAGCATGGATGTGTTTTGTCTCAATGTTTGTAGAACTGACTCTGATTAAGGCCTTTGCACACTACCACAGAATCAGTTGCAGGTGTTGATACATGAACCTGCATGTGGAGGGAGATGTGTTAGGTGAAGACACAAACCATATAGGAGGAAAGAGAGAAAATATTTCGAAGATATAAGTAAGACATGTAAGAGTTCTTCCACATTTGGTAATCTTATTATTATATGTTCTTGGATTTGCCACTCAGGTTTACGACATGGAGCTGGGTGAGGAATTCTATCTTCCACAAAATAAGAAGGAAAGCAGACAGATAGCCCCAGAGCTTTCAGACCTTGTCATTTACTGTCAAGCTGTAAAGTTCCCTGGTAAGTACTGCCCTGGTTCATTGCTTTAAGCTTACTAACTCTTGGAGACATGAAGTTTATGTTTTGAATTAGTGAGTAAAAGCATTTTCAAATTGAAGTAGCTGAGCAGGTTCATTCTTGATGACTTGGTAGTCTTCACAATAACAGCTCCTGGCTGAGAAGTAGTACTCATAAATTATGTGAACACATACTGTTTGTCATATTAAAATGTTTACAAAAGTGAAATTTGCCAGTCTGCACAACTTAGACAACTGTTTCAGTGCCAAATGCCAGATGACAGAAAGCTTTATCTTAAGAGCTTTGAGTTTCCATGTAAGGAATTAGGAAGGAAAATATTATTAGACCTTAAAGGAAGAGCATGTCACATTTCTTTAAGTGACCTCGATTTAGTGTGTCTCACCTTTGCCTACAGCTGCATCTTCTATTCTTTCCTAAAGGGACAGGAGAGGAGCTCTTTGCAGGGGTAAAACAGCCTTTTTGTGGGGTGGGTGAGGACTGCTGATTGCACACACACACACAATCTGCACAGAAGGAGTTAAGGGAATAGGAGTGTCTTCTTCTGCACAGTAGAAAGAATAACGTTTGCAGAGAAAAGCAGAGGGAGTAGCTGAAGAGATCACTGATAGTTACTTGTGCAGTACTGAAATATGAGGTTGGGTATATTTTGGTTCATACTCTGTACATAAATACTTTTAAATTGAGAATTTATTGTTTATTGATATGTTGAGTGTTTTGAATGAAAAATCTGCTTTTCAGTGGAATGGTTCTCTATGGAAAAGTTAGCAATTCTGCCAAACCATGATCTTATACAAATAGAACTATAATCAGATTAGAGAAGCTAACCAAACATAAAACAGTGTCAAATAGGCAAGATAAACATGCTGGAAAATGGACAGACATTCTTTTATAATCTTCTGTAAGTTTAAGAATTGTAGGTGTCACTTGTAAAAATAATGACTTCTAAAAATTCAAGTCAGATACTTTTTTCATGAAAACTGCAATGAGATGTTTCAAATGAAATATTTTCTCTTAAGGAAAGATATTCAGGATTAAACAGAGGTAGTTTGAGTTGTCACAAGCATTTTGACACATGAAAAAGCTCTGAAGTTCTAAGAAAACTTTGAAATACTTAATTTTTAATGCAATTTTGGTTATAAAAGAAATACCTGCTTTCTTTATCAGATTTCTTCTTCTTGCTTTAAAGGGGTCATGAATAGATCAATTAAGAAAATTAGCTCTTTTCACAGATGAACACATGAAGCTGTAGAAGTTAGTTTTCCCACAAACTTTGTCTCCTTTGGTACAAATACTGCCTTCTCTGCAAGTAGTGCAGACATCCATGGCCACTATGCCACTGCTTGGATTGCTCTGCTCAGCCAGAGGGCACAGACATGTGCAATGCCACACCCCAGTACTGTCCATTAGTGATGGCAACAAGGCTGGTAGATCATGACTATGTAGCTAGTGACTGTGTTTCTAACTAGCTCAGAAAATGTGGAAGTTTTGGAAATAGGAAGGGCAGAATTCATGTCAGCACCTGATCAATGGTATAAATACTTTATTTCTCCTGGCTTCATTTATTTTTATTCAGTGTTTACAGTTGCCTACATCCCTGAATGTTAATCACTGCTTTGTGACTATAAAAAAGGACAAGGACCATTATGTTCACTTATCCTATCCTACTGAGCAACGCAGACTTCCCTAAGTGTTCCCTGGTCAAAACAGAATTTATCATGTGGAGAAAATAATGTTTAGAAAATCTCTGGTAACGAGGAACCTACCACAGTTCTTGTTTCTGTTATTTTTTCATCCTTACAGTCCTTGCATAAGTTCAGTTTCAGTCTGTTGGGTATCATCATACCAGCAACTAAGAGGGTGAAGGTCTGTTCTTCAGGTCACCCGAGATGAGGGCAGTGAAGCACACTTGAGCACAGTACTGCTTTAACCCATTAGCACATGGCTTGTTGCCTTGATGCTGAGGATCCTTACACAATGAGTAGAGGAACTGAGCACACAAAAGCAGGGTTTGCACAATCAAGCAGAGAGAGCAGGGGAGTCACCTGAGCTAACCAGCATGAAATTCAGTCACCATCTCCATTGTCTCAGACTCTCTGGCCCTATGGTATCACTTTCAAGAAATTAAAGTGAACACACTAAGGGGCACCCTACACACAAAATTGCTTTGAATTCTTTTTCCAGGTCTGCAAACCTGCAGACTAATTGTCTGTTGGCCTGAAACACGTGGTGAGAAGGTGGCAATTACAGTTTAACCTGTCATGTTAGTATGGTATAGAACAAGAAGGGCAGGGAAATTTGCAATCCTCTGGATTAAAAACCTAGAAGCAGTAAAGCAGTGTGCTTACATCTAACACGAGAGACAGGCACTAAACTCTGTAACTTGAAGAATACAGCACGGAGTTTTAGGGAAATGCAAAATTTACTCTGTCGTTATGGTAGTATGATAGGATCTATGTACAGTATGGTGGGATCTAAGCTGGTCCTACTTGGACCAGAGAGTTGGACCAGATGACTTCTATATCCTTGTCCACCTCCGTTATTTTGTGAATTTATGAGCCTGTGAATAGGTGATGCTATATTTTGGAGACAAGTTTAAATTGGAATGAAAAATGCCTCTGGGAGGAGACTTGTCACATGCAAAGCATGGCCATGGGAAAGACTGAAAGAAAACTCCCAGCTGCAGCTTACTCTGTGGCCATCAGATTGGGTTCAGCCAGTCCTGAGGTTTTGCTTTGCAGTCTCCGGTGATTTGTGAGGTTAGTTTGTTTCCTCAGTGACTGTCTCCACAACAGCATTTTGAAACCTGGGTCTTGCTTGCCAAATCCATTTGATCCATTGAAAACTGGGATTAAATAGTGCTGGAAGCATAGAGTGCATAACTCCTCATTCTTCTAGTCAGTTCATATTCCTTGGTCTCAGGAATCTACCATCTTCTGTGGTTATGTGTATTCTTTGGCCCAAAGAGACAGTACATCTCCAATGCTGAAAACATTTATGTGTATCCTAAATTTTACTAACCCAAGCAGTTCCATTGAAACCATCCACATAATTTTAGGAAGTACATGTACACATGCCATAAAGATTGAGAGCTGAAAATTTACAGCTGTGGACAGACTTGAGTCAAAAAGAGGCCAATGATTGTGATTTATGTGTATTTGAAATATTAGTATTAAATCCAGAACTGTCTTTAGGTGTGAATTGATGTGGATTAATGGGGAATGTTTTAGGAGTCACAGGCAAATAACAGTGTGTTTGCTTTGTTAGATTCTATATCACAAGTATATCTTGGGTCTCTGAGAGCATCCCACACTCCAGGATGTCAGAGCAGTGTCAGAGTAACTGTGGTGCATTTTGTCTTACCACTCCAGGATGTCAGAGCAGTGTCAGACCATTTAATTTTGGTCTGCCATGTGCTCTCTCCAAGTCAACAGAAAGAAACTGACTTAAGGGGGATTAAGTCTGTTTACTTCACTGGGATTTAGGTCATGATTTTAATTAGTATGTTTCTAGAATGCACAGGTTTGAATAATAGCTACACTAGTGCTTCCCAGCTCCACTTCCAGGACATATTGGCCATTAAATGTGTAATGGATTTTGCACACCTATTTCCCAACACTGAAATACAAATAAACAGATAACTCTGAAAACATCTTGAAGTTAAACTATTTAACAAAGAGCATTTGGACATTTTCCTTTATATCTTTAAATCATATTCTTGCATTTATATGATTTTGTAGGTCTTCTATCCTAGATATATTCATAATATTCACTACTCTACAGATTTATTGCTTCTATAGAAAATATTTTTACTTAATAAAAGTTATTCCAAGGATGAATGCATTGGGACTGTTACTGCAGATTTTTTTTTAGCACAATTAGGACCACTTGGTAATTCAGGAGAAAGTCACTACCTACCTCAAGCCAGGAAGTAAAATGGAGAAAAGTTGTGTCACAGAGAGAGAATTGTATATCATATTGCTTCATTTGAAGTTTTACATACATTATGTATAAAAAACATGCATACTATATACATATATAAAGGCATGTATATAGGTAAAGATGTTGAAGTTAAATTTTGGAAAAAAATACACTTCTTGTCCTGTGTACCATATAACAGGAGTATTCATGCCTTCAAAAATAATGTAAAATATGATGGAAAATGTTGTGCCCTCTTGGTCATGTTTTTTGGCTCATTTATTCTACATTTATGGGAACAGGCTTGTCGACTCTAAACCCATCTGGCTCTAGCAGAGGAAAAGAAAGAAAAAGCAGGAAGTCCATTTTTGGCAACAATCCTGGCAGGCTGAGCCCTGGGGAGTCAGCTGCTCTTGCCAAAGCATCTGGAAAAGGTAAAGTTCCATCTTCTTTCACCAGTCACGTGGAATGACTCTGTAATCCAACACATGTACCAGACCAAGCTGTTAAAGATCAAATACTTTGCAATGTGTAAGATGTCGAACTTTGGAATGGTTTTTCATTAGTGCTGCAACTATTACAGTAACATTGTTATAACTGGAGTGTTGAGTATGGAATGTTAAAATAAGATTACTTGGTCAGGAGTATGATGACCCTAATTCATGAACAATTCAAAACTAACATACATTTTAAGTGATGTATCTTAAAGTTTGTATTTTAAAAGGTATAAATTAATATTGCAAAGTACAAATGGAAGGCAGAACTGCTGACTGGATTCAGCAAAGAATTTTTATTGTCTGAAGTAGGACTTAGCTGCCTAAAATTCAGCCAAGTCCAAACGTGTATTTGTGCAAATTATACTCTGCAGGTTAGTTAGTTTGTGAACCTGGAAAATGTGCTTCTGCTTAGGAATAGATGTAAAGAAACACAAAGAAAGTACAGAAAAGGTTTGGGATCATTCCTTGCCTTACAAGTGATTGCCATAAACAGAAAGTTAGGGTTGTACCCTTTCTTGAACTCATTTTCTGGCTCAGGGAGCATTGCATTTCTTGCAGCCTAAGGGCACAGCTGCAGCAGACAGGCTAGATTTCCCTCTAGAGGCCAGTGTCCTAAGAATGAACGAGTCTGGTGCCTAATTCTAGAGGATCTAAGTATGCTGCTGCCCTTGTCCCCTAGCTCTCTGTAGATTGCCTGTTGGGAGATTTAGCAGATAGCTGTCAGTCTTGCCTCTCTTCCTCATGTAAAGGAGAATAAGGCAATTTTACTCCTTTATTTTATTCAGGCAAATGCCAATTAGGTATTCAATTATAAAAATGCTTGTTAACATGTCTAATCATGGTATTATTTCAATACTTAAAACAGTTTCCTCTCATGGATTGTTCTTACTGTATAAGGAGGAGTTACACTTACTTATCCCAAGTAGTGTCGTGTTCCAGGATCACCTTTTTCTGCCATAACCAAAACATGCACACATACTCCACTAGAAAATATGGAATTTTCTGAGTCTCTGGACCTGCAGCTCTAACTTGAGGGTGCTGTTTATTTTCCAGGTCCTTTTGACGTGATGCGGCAGACGTGGGAAGATCCTTGCTCTCCTTACAACTCTCCAGCTTCTCTCAGCGCTATCATAAGGACACCCAAGTGCTATCACATCTCCTCCCTGAACGAGAACGCTGCCAAGAGGCTGTGCAGGAGGTACTCCCAGAAGCTGATCCAGCACACCACCTGTCAGCTCCTGAGGACTTACCCTGCTGCCACACGCATCGACTCCTCGAATCCCCATCCACTCATCTTCTGGCTCCATGGTGTGCAGCTCGTGGCTCTGAACTACCAAACAGATGGTACGGGTGCACAAATGCAGGTTTTAATACAGTTTAAATATGATATAAGTCTTTGAACTGCGAATTTGCATTGATTTTCCCTGCTCTCCCGAGGAGATCTACCTCTCTGTGCACCCCAGCACAAGCAGGTTCAGTCTGGTCCTTGCCTGTAGCGATCCCAGAGTCCAGAAGTTTTGTTCCAGTGCACATCCCCTGATAACACAGAAGTACATCTTCCATTTTTATTATTTTATTTTATTGCTGAAGGGTATTTTTCCCCCAGTTTAAGTAGCTGTTATCCCTTTCTGATAATTTCAAGTCTAAAAAGGCACTGAACTATCTTTAACTTAGAAGTGCTGCCTTGGATGCTGGTTTAATGTTGATAAAGACATTTTTGGACCCTTTGCTATCCTGTCTTGTGTTCCATAGAAATGTGGGGGATCCATTGTGTCACCTACAGAGCTACACAGTCAGTGCCTTTTCATTCTACAGTTTAGGGCACACACCTAGAAACCTCTCAGAGCCTTGCAGTTGGATAAAAGACAACAGAAAGGGTCAGAAAAGAATGAACTGTTCTATTGGATAGATTGGATACATATATCACAGCTGTCTCTAAAAGCCAAGAACAAAATGATGGTACATAACTAAACTTAAAAAGATATACTTAAAACATGACTTTGTTTTCACTGTTATGGTTTGTCCATTGCACCATTGCTCTCTGTCAGTTTTGGCTGCTTTACATCCACAGATCTTCCTCTGCAACTCAATGCAGCGATGTTTGAGGCTAATGGTGGTTGTGGATATGTCTTGAAACCTCCAGTTCTGTGGGATAAAAATTGTTCAATGTACCAGCAGTTCTGGCCATTGGAAAGAGACCTGGATAATAAGGAGCCAGCTATATATTCATTAACAGTAAGTACATTAAAAGGGAATTTCATACAGCCAAACAGATAAAAGTAGAAAATATATAACTACAGTCTTTAACCAGCATTACACTCCTGCTTTTATAGGAAAAGACTGAATCTCTAAGTTTTGCTTAGACTTCTGAAAGTCAATATAACTAACAAAAATTGCAGGGGGAAGGAGCAAAGATTTGTCTCTATTTTATTTTATTGGCTGGTTTGTATCCATAGTTACTTTCACTGTTTCCTTCACAATATTTATCGAAACCCAGTCCTGAAAGCATTTTCCCTGGGACTCTACACAACTGTATAAAATTACACGTGCCTTGATGTTTGACACGTTTGTGAACACTTGAGAAGCTGTTCAGAATCTCAAAAAAAATGCGGGGTTTTTTTAAAGTTATATAATAAGATGTATAATTCATGGATATGTGGCCTGAAAAAAAAGTATTCTCCTAAGCTAGTCCCTTTGAGGAAATGGTTCAGAAAAGTGAGATTCATAAGGATCAGAACTCTCCCAGCTGTGGTAATTGCACATCTAATTCTTGTGCTATGTCTGCCAAACCAAGCCAGAGGTCAGTGCCATCATCCCAGAGTAATGGAGATGAAAATGTGATCTTTTTGACTGCATTACTGGTGCATTCGTTCTGGATTAACTTTCAGATGCCTTGAATGGTTACACTCATGATGTACAGTGTATTTTTTTTCAGAGGAAAAGATGCCGTAGCAGTGGTGTTGGGAGTGCAGAGGGCTGAAGCAGCTCTGCTTGTGAAATTACTACCCTGGCAATTACTAAAGCAGAGGAGTGTTGTAATTAAATCAGCATGTTAACAAACTGTGCTTAGGAGTGCGCTAAACAATGTTTAGCTCAGCATCATGAGCAAAAGGATTACTCACTGATTGGTTTCTCTGTGTACTCCTCGGCTTCAGATTGTGTCTGGACAGAACGTTTGCCCCAGCAACAGCACAGGCAGTCCCTGCATTGAGATCGACGTGCTGGGGATGCCTCTGGACAGCTGCCACTTCCGAACGAAGCCCATTCACCGCAACACTCTCAACCCTATGTGGAATGAGCAGTTCCTTTTCCGGGTTCACTTCGAAGATTTGGTCTTTCTCCGCTTTGCAGTTGTAGAAAATAACAGCTCAGCTGTGACAGCTCAGAGAATCATTCCCCTGAAAGCACTGAAGAGAGGTACAGTATGGTTGCAGTGACACCCTGTGCCAAAATGGTCCAGCAGATTCCTGGACTGAATCCTGACAGAGAGATATTTTTATTCAGCTGGTTGCATTTTTCTAGAGGAGACAGGGAGCAAATATCAGTCAACATACGATGTCCTGGCAGTACAATGCTGATCTAACAGACTCCTTGGGAGCTGGCAGCTCCCAGGAGACTTGTAAAAAATCTGATCCCATGCTGTTGTGGAGACAGGGACATCTCGTACACAGCTGCATCAGTCCTGAGCACTTGTGAGGTTGTGTTCACCTGGAGACTGCTGCTCCCTTAGGAAGCATGGTGTGGTTTCACTCCCTGACTTGTCCTAAGCCCAAGAAACTGCTGTAACTGGTGATCACTGGGCAGAGGGGAATTGCAGTCCTTGAGGAGTGGTGAAGGAAGGGTGAAAACAAGTGAGAGAGGTGAGGAAGCATCACTAGTTCTGTGGCACCCGAGGGTGGGAGTTTCTGTGTTGCCAGCAGCATTTTCACATTTGCTTTGTGCCACTGTAATAACACACAACTGTCCAGGCTGGCACAGATCTGACCATAGACATGCATTTTCCCAGTGAGAATTTGTCCTTGTTTCATCCATATTCTAAAATGTAGCTATTTTATGCATGAATATATTGAATATTATGGCAAAACACAGGTGGACTGTCACTCAGCAGTTCATAGCATTTGGGTTACACTGTGGTACAGGGTGTGAATCCAGTGTTATTACAGTGCTTTAAATCCCATCAGTGTGGCAAACTGTGGCTATAAATACAGCAAATTTGAGTTTTCCATTTATGAGACTTGTGTCCTAGGATGTGGCAAAGTAGTAACAGAAGGGGGTTTTTTTCCTCTTTAGGCTACAGACATGTCCAGCTCCATAACCTGCACAATGAAACATTAGAAATTTCCAGCTTGTTCATAAACAGTCGGAGGATGGAAGAAAATCCCTCTGGAAACACCCTGCCTGCATCTATGGTAATTTAGTTTTTGTGTGTATGTGTGAATTACCTGTGTTCTTATCTCAGAAACTGCTATGATGTGAAGACTTCTACAGCCTGCACGTTCTTTAGAAGTACCTCAGTGCCTACTTATTTTTGGCTTTGGTGGAAGTAAGGTTATCCCAGCTGGCTGAAACTGCAGGAGGGTAAATCTTTTTGGTCTGATTTCTCTGGGGTATTTGGGTATAGCATGAGAACTCCTGTGCTGGAGGAGGAGTGTGGTTGAGCAGTTAGGTACAGTGCTGCCTCATGCATTCCTTTATGCATGATTGCAATTAAAGTATTTGGGACAAAGGATGCAAATTACCAGCAATTTTGGAATAATGAGAGTAAAATCGAATTCTTTTACAGGGAAAGATAGACCCTCTGTTTCCATAAATACATGCATATTTATATATATATGTGTGTGTGTGTGTGCAAATCCCTATGTTTGTATGTACAAATATGTATACATACACATACAGATATGTGTACATCTAAGAATAGGTATGTTTGCATGCACAGGTGGATGTGATTTTGTTTCAGTAGCCCTTCATGTTAGGTTATCTGACTTACTCATGTTTTGGTAACTTTAAACATGTATATTATCATTTTGCTGACTCTTTGAGTGTTAGATAGAACCTCCTGAGCTCCTGTGTGTGCAGCAGATGGGTTGCAGATGAACTCCTCCTGCAAATGTAAAATCACAGAATCAGTTTGGAATACAGAATAATGCTGAACATGTGTCTTGGTGAAATACTAGGGCAGAAAGGAAGAACATAAATGACTTGGAGGTTAAAAACAAAACTATAGATTTTCACCCAGTAACCTGTATGCTGAATCCAAATAGTCTGAGCTGGGATAGAATGGATAATGAGTGATGGAGGGCTGCCCTTTGTCCAGCGTATGTACTCTCACTGGAAAACTCTATTTTCTTCTTTCTCTTCACCTTCAAGGTAGGTGGAGTCTTTTGGGGGAGGTCATTGGGGTTTTTTTAAATGCCTCCATCTGTAGTGTAAGAAAGAGCCATGTATGAACTGGAGAGCTCTGCTCTGTCGAGGTCCTTACAGCTTGTGTGTATAGTTTCTTTTAAGCAACTTAGAAATAACATGCTTGTGTGAAAACATTCAGTAACCTGTTCAATGTTTGTCTGAACAGTTGTTTAGCTCGGGGGAAAGGAAAGCTGCTGTTCCTTACAAAGTGACAGTCCATGGAATTCCAGGCCCGGAGCCTTTCACTGTTTTTAACGTGAGTGCAGGGACCAC